GAGGGGGAGGGAAGGGAGGGAAAGGAAAAGGGAGGGAGGGGAGGGAGGGGGAGGGAAGGGAAAAGGGAGGGGAAGGGAAGGAAGAGGGGAGGAAGGGGGGAGGGAGGGAGTGCAGGACAGCAGCAGTGCTGTGTGAAATAACCGTGACAGTGGGTAGGGCTTTCTATGGGTCCAAAGATGGTGGTTTAAGCAGAAACTGTGTATAGAGAAGGAAAATCCATATCCAAGATATATTAGTTACTTTTCTGTTGCTGTGATTATCTACCATGACCAAGGCAACTTACAGAAGGAAGAGTTTATTGGGCCTACGATCCAGAGGGATGAGTCCATCACGGTGGGGAGGCATGGCAGGAGGCAGCTGGAGTGGAAAGCTGAGCACATTAGCTGGACAGGGTGGTGAGCACCTTTAATCAGTTCTCAAGGAAAAAAAGCTGGGCATGGTGATGCACACTTGTAATCCCAGTGATGGGGAGGTGGAAACAGAGGGATCCCTGGAGCTCACTGACCAGCCGGCCCAGCCCTAATAGGCAAGTTCAGGTCATTGAGAGATTCACTCTCAAAAAAAAAAAGGTGGACAGTGTCTAAGGGACAATATTCAAGGTTATCCTGTGGCTTCCATGCACATGCACACATACACGCATACACACACACACACACACACACACATACGCACGTATGCACACGCACACATGCATGCACATGCTAGCAAATTCTCCTGTGCCAAGCTCACCCTTTGGTGAGCACTCATATACTATGTAAAGATCTTCATGACTTTTTGCCTAGTCAGGAAGACCAATTCACATACCTCTTACTCTTTCTTTGTCATCAATTTCTAAACTGATGTTCCTTCCAACTCCCAGACAATCCAGCCAAATGTGTTATAGCACAGAGTCTAACATCTAGCCATTTCTTCTGCTAAGCAGAATGCACAACCACCTCAACGGTCTAACATTCTCCTCCTATTGTCCTTCAAGGATATTCCAGAGAGATGCTGTTGGACTGCAGCTGTCCCTTTTCAAGTGGTGCCTGCACACCATGCAGATCCATCTATAAACCAAGCCCACGTCTTCCCTTCCCATCAGTGAGCCACAGGGAACCTGCCATGAGGCCACTTGTGCAAGCTGGGAGAGAGGAGGTAGTGCCACAAGAGCAGGAACCATGGGCACAAGGTCCACTCCCTCGTCATGTAACTTACCTGTGCCTTCAAGGCTGGCTGAGATCCAGTCACCACTCACACTGGATGATGGAGTCTTGTATGCATCCCTGTCTTTACAATTTGATGGATTAGATAACACAAGCTCATGGTGGGCAGTTAATGGCTCATTGGTGTGCCATGAGAAGGCTTTGGTGTCTTCTATGATCTAGTACAGGTCAAAAGCTGTTTATAAACAGGCAAGTAGTTTTTCTCAGGAAAGTGGCAGGGATCTACTCCAAATGCTTAAGTTCCTCTGCTACGTCTCACCTATAGAAACCTCCCAAAGTTCCAGCGAGCATAAGCCACCACATAAGCCAGACACCGATGAATCTTCAGGATCACGTGGCCCAAGTGGCACAGTAGCTTCACAGTAGCCTGCCTGGACCTGTTGCAGTGGCTTCTTTTATTTGTTACGTTAATTTTTTTTTTTTTTTTTTTTTTGGTCTTCTTGAGTCAGGTCTCCCTGTAGCCCCAGCTGGCCTAGAACTCACCATGTAGACCAGGCTGGCCTTGAACTCACAGGGATTCTCCTGCCTCTGCCTCCCAAGTGCTGGGATTAAAGGTGAGTACTACCATGCCTAGGTCTCTCCCCACCTTCTGATATGTAAATGTCTGATGGATGAGTCTATAATAGTTTGCTACTACATTTATTTATTTCTATTTTATGTGTATGAGTGTTTTGCCTGCGTGTGTGTAAGTGCCCATGTCTTGCAATGCCCATGGAGGCCAGAAGAGGGAGTCAGGGCCCCAGGACCCAGAGTTTCCTCGCAGGGAGGGAGTTAGCTGCCCTGTGGATGCTAGGAACCAAACCAGGTCCTCTGGAAAAGCAGTCAGTGCTCTTAATGCAGAGCCATCACTCCAGCCCAGTTTGGTACTTCTTACTGACTAGATTCAGTCAGCATCATGCCATCAGTGTCATGTACTAGGGTGATATCTGTGGAAAGGAAGGATGATTAAGATCTCAACAATGCTGGGCCTTTTGGTAGCACATGCCTTTAATCCTAGTTCTTGGTAGGCAGAGGAAGTTGTATCTCTCCAAGTTCAAGGCCAACCTGGTCTATATAGCCAGGCCAGCCAGGGCTGAACAGTCAGATTCTGTCTCAAAAACAAACAAAACTAAAAGAGATCTCAACAAACTAAACAGTCCAGAGCTGGAGAGATGATACAGCCCTAACGTACAACAGTGAAGTTGTACTGAGGGCCTTGTCAGCTGAAAGCAAACTTCCTCTGGTGGAACATATGGACAGGGATGGAGAGAAAGGATTTACTATTAAAAAATTTTTAGGCCAGGCATGGTAGTGCATGCCTTTAATCCCAGCACTTAGGAGGCAGAGGCAGGTGGATCTCTGCGAGTTCCAGTCCAGCTGGGGCTAAAGGAAGACCCTTTCTCAAAAAAAGACAAAAAAAAAATTTAGTTCCAGTAACTTCTCTTGCTAATTCTTTCAGAATTTCTATGCAGACATCTGTCAACAGTAACCATTTTATTTCTTCCTTTCCAGTCATTCTGCCTTTCATTACGTTCCTCTGCCTGTCTTACTGCATTATCTAGGATTTCTAGGACGTTGAAAAGGAGCGGTGAGAGGGGCCATACTGGCTTACTTGTCATCTCAACTTTCAACAGTAAAAGAGGCCCCAAGACCAGAACACTGGAGAAGCACCAGTCTAGGAAAACAGTAAAAGGGTATGTTAGAAGGGGTGCCATAGCAACATACTACAAACTGGGTGACAAACAGAAATGTAGAGGCTGGTGAGATGGCTCAGCAGCCATCAAAATATGAGGCTGGAAGAAAGAAGAGGGGACAGGGCAGCAACTGGAGAGAAATGGGGCCTTGTGGGAAGGCTTAGTTTATTTATTTATTTGTTTATTTATTTATTTAATTTTGAGATAGGAACTCTCTATGTAGGTCCTCAAACTTGTGGTCCTTTTACCTCAGCCTGCTGACAACTAGAAGTACAGACATGTGCCTGGAAGACAAATCTTCTTTGCTTCAAAACCAGCATCTGGGTGCTAGAAATACTCTCCAGACATTTTTAATAGAAGGGGGAAAAGCTGTCTCATTTATTTCTCCATTGTCATTGAAGAAAAGCTGTTTCCACTTTTCCTTTCCTCCTATAGGCATTGAGACAGTCCCTCTGAGTCAGGCAAAGATAATGTTTAAATTTCTCTGGAGCTTCCTGACTATAGTCAGATTCCTACCACTATTGACTCGTGGAAAGTCAGAAAGTGTGAGCAATTACAACCTACTTTATCTAAAACAAAAGTAAATTTCCTCAGCTCTGTCCTCAGCTCTCAAAAGAGATGGAAGGAGAAAAGAAACAAACATCCCTGTCCCCCAAAGGGGCTCCCTGTGACCAGTGAAAAACAGTCCAATCTCATCTTTTGGGGAACAAAAAAATGGGGGCTGGAGAGATGGCTCCATGGTTAAAAGCACTGACCGCTCTTGCAGAAGACGCGGGTCCAATTCCCAGCACCCACATGGAGGCTAACAACCATCTCTAGCTCTAGTTCCAGGGGATCCGATGCCCTCTTCTGGCCTCCATAGGCATTTGTTTTACTGCTAATCATTAAATATAGCCATATATTTAAATTAATTTTTTTTTGTAGTGCTAGGCATGGAAACTTGGGCCTCAGCATGCTAGGCAAGTATTCTACCACTGAGCTACATCCCCAGCCCTCTTTTTACTTTTTATTTTGAGGCAGGATCTCACTAAGTTGACAGGCTGGCTTTGAACTCTGTAGTTTAGGTTGACCTCGAACTTGGGATCTTCCTATCTCAACCTCCTGAGTAGCTGGGATTACAGATCTGTAGCACAAAACTTAACTAAAAATATTTATATTTTTATATACTCTCAAAATCCCCAACTCAGGCTTTGAAGGAAAAATAACAAATTTGGTATCAGGTTTTAAGAACTTTCATAGTTAAATAAATCCTCTATATTATCCAAAAGAATGTTGTTTTTGACATTTAATGCCTGAAACCAGTGACATACTGCAAAATGAGGCCACTTCACACTAGTCCTGAAGGTCTCTGGTGAGGTACTTGAACGGCTTGAGGACTTTCTATAAAATGGCTGTTAAGCTGAAGAGCCTGCACGCAGTGTTCTCATGCACAGAGGGCCTCCCATATTCCCTGATATTGGCCACAAGCACAGGTTCAGCTACACATGGTCAATCTACGAGAGATTATCATTTAGAAAATGAAAGGGAGGGCTGGAGAGACAGCTTGGCTGGAAAGAGTTCACACTCGTCTTGCAGAAGACCTGACTGCAGTTCCCAAAACCCATGTTAGGCAGTTCATAACTCCCTGTAACTCCAGCTCCAAAGGGGTCTGATACCTGTGGTCTCCACAAGCACCTGCACTCACATGCACTTACACATAGACACACACAGATACATAAAATAATTTAAGAAACAAATCTTAGAAAATGAAAAGGGATAAACATCTGGCAAACTCAAACACTTGCAAGGAATTTCATCCCAACATAATATTCTAGCTAGAAAAATCACAGTGGTTTTTAAAAAAACATCTGACTTTTTTCTGAGCTGAATTCCAGCCAGATGACCTTCATTCAAATAGTTGATTTTATCATGCACTGAAGCCTAGCACATCTGCCTTGTCAGCCAGCCATAGTGCTAACGAAAGTGCTCACAGAAGAGGATGATTTGAGGTTGCTTAACAGAGAAAGTAATACTCACTTTCCTCCACCAACACTTACACCACAATGGAATTCATTGACTGTGTAACATGCCACTGAGGTTATGTTCCAGCACACAGAGATCTAAATTATGGATCGTGGAAGCAGGATCCTTCCTCCCATGGGCATTCCCATTTCCTCCAGGCTGAGGGCTGTCTCCAGCAAGGCCAATCAGTGAGCTTTGGTGGCATCCAATTCAATTTGCCTTTCACTGTTGTTTACAGCCTTATGTCCTCTAGGTGGCGCCCTGGGACACAGAACACTGCTCCCAGCGACCCACACAGTGGGCTCTCCTCAACAGCCCCTTCAAGGGGAGGATTCTCCATGGTGGATCCCTGCACTGGCTTCTTCTCTGTTTCAATATAACTTGGCTACATCTCTGTTTCTCTTCAGAAGAGACCTGCTGCACTACCCTTTCATGCCTCTGCACTGGCTCTTTCACAGAGGTGTAGGAAGATAGCATTTTATTACAGAGCAGGATGCCCCAGAGTTTTCCATGAGTAGATTTTTCCTTAGGGTCTCTACACTTTCCACCTGCATGTGACTAATAGTTATTTTCCTTTTCTGTGAATATTCTAAACTACAGTGAGTTTCTTCTATTTTTTAAATTTGTTTTTTTTTATTTTCATTTTATGTGTATGAGTGTATTGCCTGCACCTGTGCAGTGCCCTTGGATGTCACACGAGGACATCAGATACCCTGGAACTGGAGTTACAGATGGTTATTAGCTGCCATGTGGGTGCCAGGATTTGAACTCGGGTGTACTGCAAAAGCAGCCAGTGCTCTTAACCGCTGAGTCATCTCTCCAGCCTTTAAATTTTAACTTCTACCTCATTTTCCTTAAAAAATTAATTTATTAGCTTATTTCTTTTTTTCTCTATCTAATATTGCGCATTTATTATAGAATTATAGAAAACTTAGAAATCATCCTATCCAATCCCCTTAGAGAGGAGAAGCTCTTGGAGGTAAGTTGAATTGCCTACAGTCCCACAGCTAATAAGCTGGTGGCAAAGCCAGGTCTGTTCCCTTCACCAACGCAGCTTTCCTATCCTTCTCTTGCAGGATTTACCCACTCCCCATGTGTGTTAGACACCACCCATAACAAAACTGTTTCTGGGGATTATGTATCACCTTCAGTGGGTTCTGAGGACCCAAGACAAAGGTCTTTCCACGATGCACTGAAGGCATCACTCTCCGGGGGTTCCCAGTTTGGGTCTCCCTCCTAGAAAGTCTCCACCAGATCTCTTGAGCAGCATCATTACCAGGCATGTGAACTCTCCAGGTTCCCACAGGAAGTGGCAATATGCAAACTTGAATTCAGAGCTCTGACCCAGGTTGGTAGTGTTCTCCATGGGAGCTGTGGGCAGTCGGAAAAAGAGATGAGGGAAGGAGGCAGAAAGCAAAAGAAAGTCTCAGAAGAGGCCGGAAGGCCACAACAGGAGAGGAGATGGATGTTGGGAAGCCAGTGCCAACAGTCTCTTACGCCTAATCTGGTTCCTTTGAGCTTCATGTAGACAAGACTGGTAAGGAAAACTGGCTGCTTGTCATAAACATGAACCTTATTTCCTAAAAACTTTAGCCTAAAGTTACTCTTTGAGAACACACATCTTTGTTTATTAAACAAAAATGGATCTGGCCACAAGCATTGTTGTGTCAACAGGAGCAGTTTGCATAGATGGTAAGACTGGGAATTACAAAGAGCTGAAAACTGACAATCATAGGGTTGCAAAGTTGACAAGACCTTCCCCTCTAAATTGTCTATAACTTCACCTTAAAATGTCCTTACCCAGTTGATGCTCATAACTTGTTATCCCTTCTAACAGAGCCATCCACAGTGCATTCGGCCGCCTTAAAAACTGGTGTGGGGGGTGGGGGAGGAGGTTGACTCAGTCCAGTATTTGTTCTGCAAACATGAAGACTTGAGTTTGATCCCCAGAACCTACATTTAAAAGGCTGAGGACGCTGGGAGTGGTGGTATATACCTCTAATCCCAGGATTTAGGAGGCAGAATTGGAGGCCAGCCTGGTCTAGATAGAGAGTTACAGGCCAGCTGGGACTACATAGTGAGACTGTCTCAAAAACAAACCAACAAAAACCCAACATGGTAGTGTAAGCTTGTATCATATCACTGGGGAGATGAGACAGGTGGATCTCTGGGACGTGCAAGCCAGCCAATCTAGCTGAATCAGCGAGCTCCAGGTTCAGGGAGAGACCCCGTCTCAAAAAAAAAAAAAGGAAGACACTCAATGTCAACTTCTGGCCTCCATACCCACATGTAAACACAGACACAGGCACACAGACACGGGCACACAGACAGATACACACAGACAAACAGAAATACCCTGATGAGAAGCCAGTCACTTGAGACATTTAAGCAGAAGTCTAACCTTGAGAAGCAGAAATGGCCAGGTTCAGAAATACCAAGTTATAAAACATACTAGTTCTTACTAAGGGGCATTACTAAGTTAGGGAGTAAGGCCAGATAGCCTCTGAGGTCCCTTTCTAACAGTGAGATTCTGATTGAAATTCTATGATTTTGTTGTTGTTGCTGTTTGACTTTCTGTCTTGTTTCTAGTCTTTATATATCCTAAAAATGTCTATATATTTTATTGTAATAAGTCTCTAGTGCCCAAGAAAAAGAGACTATTAGTAATGAGTTTTTTGTCCTGTATGAAAATTAGAACTTAAAAAAAAAAAAAAGAAACTTTTTGATGAGACAGACAATTCCCACAAAAAAAAAAATTGAAGATTTTTCAAGTCTATCAGTTCAATTTATGGCTGTCTTGCTTTCTTGTGAAATACTCTTTTTTGAGACAGGGTCTCCCAGTTGCCCAGCTGGCCTGGAACTCTATTAGAAGAGGCTGGCCTCCATCTCACAGAGATCCACCTGCCTCTGCCTCCTGAGTGTTGGGATTAAAGGTGTGCACCACCACACCTGTATGAGTATTTTTAAAATACTTTTTTTTAAAGTATGTACTAATTTGATTTATTTCTTGGTTGTAGAACACATTTTAAGTAAAAATTTGCAAGTCAATAAAGTATAAAAAATAAAATTTAAACCATTCAAAATTGTACCTTCTAGATATGACCTCTACTCACAAGTTTGTTGTTTGTGACAGGGTCCTTCTATCACTCACGTTCAGCTCAAATTCATGATTCTCCTGACTCAACCTCCCAGTGCTTGGAGTACTGGGATGTATCACCTTACCCACCTCAATTGCCCTTCCCTTTGGCTCACTCAGCCTCAGTCTTTCTGCATCCCCTCCCTTTTGCCTAGAACTCTGAATTCTACAGGGAAGCAGTACATAAATGGCTCAGATGTTAACCACTAAGTCTTTCTTTAGAGCTACAGAAACAGAGCATTTGATGACCTTTGCAATGTCCCTCTTTAGTCTTTACTTCTATGATTATGTCTTTCTAGAAAGAACTACAGGCGCTAGCCTCAGGAAGTCAATGTCCATTAGGATTGTTACAGAGAAGAGGAAGAAGGAGACCCATGCCCCAGTGATGAAGACCCTGTTCAGAATGTAGTCTTTCTGCCTGCTCATTCTTTCCTTCCCTATAAAAGTCCTTTGTACCCCTGAGCCAGAGTTTTGAGGTTAAGCCCCTCTATCCCATCAAGATTACCAGTGCATGAATAGACCTGATTCTTTCTTACTAACTCTTATCATCCAAATATACGGTCTTGGAGAAAAGAGTAACCCAGACCTTCCCCAGAGTAGATCTTTGATTAACTAGACATAAAAGCCCAAGTTCAAGGCCAAAGATGGACATGTAAGGGCCTACCAGATCACAAGGTAAGTGTCTTCACTATAAAAGGGCCTTCTCACAGACATTGGCTAGTCCAGGCCACACAAAACACTGGGTTTTAATCTTTTAACACAGAATACACTTTACTGTCTTTATCCCAATTTTTTTTTTTTTGAAAGAATGTGTAATCAAAAACTGTCTCAACTAATTTGGAAAAAAAAAATCATGAGAAAATTTCTGTAAAATGCCAAGTTTTGAGCAATATAACTTCCTGGTACACGCTCCAAAATAAACATGACATAATATGGTTCCCTAGGGCTCTTCCACTGCTGACCTGTTGAAAATAGCTAATTCTGGTGACTCTTACAAAAGAATTGCTCTGTAGCCCTTTCTTAGGGAACTGAATTATCAGAGGTGAGAAATGTCCATACTATGTTATTATAGCTAAGTGCTCACATTGATAATAGGAGAATGCCAATCTTTTTCTCACCTTGGAAACATTTAATTTCAAAACAAATTAACAGTAAAAGAAAAAAGGAGGGGCTGGAACACTGTCCTTCCCCTCATATCCCCTGCTTGCCAGATCTGGTAGGATGCTGTCATATTATACCAGGGCTACTATTAAAACTATTACACAACAGACTAAAGAGATGGCTTGGCGGTTAAAGAGCACTGGTTGCTCTTCCAGAAGACCTGGTTTCAGTTCCCAATGCCCATGTGGTAGATAACAAGTGTCCACAACTCCAGTTCCAGGAGATCTGACTCTCTCTTCTGGCCTCTACAGGCATTGTACACATGGATGCACTTACATATGTGCAGGCAAAACACTCATACACATAAAAAATAAATAAATGCAAAAATTTGAAAAGTTCTTCACACAACAGCCAAAAGGGGGTTAATTTAAAATATTCATAAATTCCTGGTTCCTTTTTACTTATTTATTCATTTTGGTCTCTTTGAAACAGGGTCTCCCTGTAGCCCCAGCTGATCTGGAACTATGTAAACCAGGCTGGCCTTGATCTCACAGAGATCTGCCTCTGCCTCCTAAGTGCTGGGATTAAAGGTGTGCACCACCAGAGTAGGCTAAGTGCCTGGTTCTTATCGTTTTGGATGGACTGGCACCACACTCATAGCCAATACATTAAATATACTTGAGCTGGAGCAATGGCTCAATAATTAAGAGACCTTGCTGCTCTTCCAGAGGACCCAAGTTCAGTTCCTATCACCCACATCAGGTGGTTCACAACCACTTATCTAGCTCCAGAGGATGTGCTGCCCTCTTCTGGCCTCCAAGAGCATCTGTAGCCATACATACACATGTGCACATACATTCACACAGACACACACATAAATAAAAATAAAAGCTCAAAAAAACCTTTTTTTTTTTTTCTTTTGGTCTTTTTGAGACAGGGACTCCCTGTAGCCCCAGCTGTCCTGGAACTCTCTAGGTAGACCAGGCTGGCCTTGAACTCACAGAGATCCACCTGCCTCTGCCTCCTGAGTGCTAGGATTAAAGGCATACGCCACCACACCTGGCAAGAAAACTTAATTCTATATTAAATTGTTTCTGTTTAAACATTTGAAATGCATTGCTTGACATTGTTTTTCCTGTTTTTGTAGTTGTTTATATTTGGGATCTGAGACCTTTTCCTCAGGTCTCAAGCATTTTAGAGACTCTTGGAAGTTTGCAGATTCCATGCAGGGCTGTCGCCTCTGATGCTAACTGTATAATCAGTGTGGGCTTGTGCTCTCCTCACAGTTTACTGGGAGGAAAGCACTGAAGAAAGCATTCATTCTGTGGGGGCTGGGGGAGAAAATTCCTCTTTGGGTTTGGTGTTGTCAGAGGGAAAAATTACCACAATTTAGTTTAAAGGTCTTAATTGAGTTTATTTGTGATTCCAGATGGGAGCAACATCTCATTCCCTAACACTTAAGTGTTCAAAAGGCTGAACAGAAGAGTTGGTGATTTAGAGAGGAAAGACTGAAGGAAGCCCAGGTCAGTCATTTCAAAGTTAGCAAACTTGTGAGGCAGAGACAGGGAGACAGAGCACTAGAAAAATAACCGATCAATTAACATCATGCTACTTTGGTAAGGATCAGTGATGGAATGTGCATAGAAACTGGCCTGTCTGGAAATCTGGCTGTTATCTCTCCTGCTAGATAGAGGCTTAGAAGGTCAGATCAGATAAGCAATTTAGTTTTAATTTGGTGCAGGAGCCTGGTCCAATTTAATAGCTTCTCCATTGTTTTTCACTTTTTTTTTTTTTTTTTTTTTTTTTTTTTTTTTTTTCTTTTTTTTTTCTTTTTGATTCAGGGTCGCCCTGTAGCCCCTGCTGGCCTGGAACTCACTATGTACACCAGGCTGGCCTTGAACTCACAGAGATCTACCTGCCTCTGCCTCTACCTCTGCTGGGATTAAAGGCATGTACCACTGTTTTTCACTTTTAATAATACAAGAATATGCTTCTCCAGTCTATCCAGCTTCTAAAGTGGAGAATCATGGATGTGACCATGTTACCCAGTCACCTTCTTCACACTGATTTGATGCCAGAAAGTTCAGGAAGCATGACCAGCATTCTGTTTTAAACTTCCTCACAAACCCACATACTGTTTTTTATTCTAACTTCCAGCACTTGGGCGCTGAGGGGGTGCTAGTCTCATATTCTCAGATAAGGAAACTGAGACTCGGATGCATTAAGAAACTTGCCCAGAGCTACACTGTTAATAAAAGGCAGGGCTGGACTTTGACCACAGTGGTCCATTACTGCAGTCGCTCCAGCATCCTTTGACCCTTCAGAGATGCTTTTTCCTGAATTTCATCTCTCTCTCTTTTTTTTTTTTTCCTCTTTTTGAAGCAGGGTCTCCCTGTAGCCCCAGCTGTCCTGGAACTCACTATGTAGACCAGGCTGGCCTTGAACTCACAGCTCCGCCTGCCTCTGCCTCCCAAGTGCTGGGACTACAAGTGTGCACCATCACGCCTGGCTCATCTCTCTTTTTAAAAGAGATTTTTATTATTATTTTAAATCATATGTGTGGGGGAGCATATGCACATGAATGCAGGTGCCCTCCAAGTCCAGATGAAAGTATCAGATTCCTTGAAGCTGTAGGTGGTTATAAGCCACCGGCTGTGGGTGCCAGGAAGCAAGCTCGGGTCTTCTGCAAGAGCAGTGTACACTCTTAACAACTGAGCCATCTCTCCAGCCCTCTTTTTAAAAATTTATTTAGAGGTACTGGGATGGAACCTAGAACCCTGTGCATTCTAGATGAGGCTTCTACCACTAGACGGGCTTCTACATTCCCCCAATTTTGTTTTCCTGAGACAGGGTCTAGCCCAGGCTTGCTTGAACTATGTAGCCCAAGTTGGCCTGAAGTTCATGATCCTCCTGCCTCAGCCTCACAAGTGTTAGAATTACAGGTATGTTACATGACTCCCAGCTGTGGTTTTAGCCTCCCAATGCCTCTTGACTCTGTTCCCTTTTCTCCACCCTCAGCTTAATTTATTCAAAGTCTGGTGCTCTCTGGCAGGGCTTCCACAATAGCCCATCAGGTGATCTCCTTGCATGCAGTCCTGCCCTCAAATCTAGTATGAAACACAGTAAGTCCACATCTATAAGTTCCTTCTAGATGGTGCCCCAATCATAAGATAAAGCCCAGCTTCCTTTATTCAGGACCATTTACAATCTGGACAAACTGTGACGACCCTCTTGCCCATGCTCCTAGGGTAGTACACTCATCACTCCTGAGACAAGGGGTGTATACTAATGCCTTGGAGGCCCTGCACATACTTGTGCCTGCTGAACTACACAGCTTTGAAGTGTTGACTCAAAAATCCCATCTACATGCTGGGAGTGGTGGCACACATGTGTTTTTAATCCCAGCGCTCAGGAGGCAGAGGGAGACAGATCTCTGTGAGATCGAGGCTAGTCTGGTCTACATAGTGAGTTCCAGGCCAGTTGGGGTTACAGGGAGACCCTGTCTCAAAACACAACCCCATCTCGAAGGTGAAATGCTCTCTCAATCCCCTGGTCCGTAACCCTTTTCCATGACTTCCTCATTCTTTGTAGCGTCTCAGTGTCCTCAGTTCACAGTGCCACCACTGTTTGCCTATCTCATCCTCACTGAACCATGAGCTCCAGGAATGAGGATTATGTGGTTTTGCCCACTAAATCCCCTCACCAAGGGCCTGGCATAGAGTGTGGCTACTTGGTCACTGGTAAATGTTCAAACAGTGGTTGGCCTTTGATAGACTTTTGGGCAACACCTGAAAATTATCCCACCTGAAGCTCTTCTGCCCTAGTCCCCAAATCCTGGAAGACAAGGCCACCACTAATTTTTACCTTTAGAAAAATCAAAGCAAAGTACCCTTCCGGGCTGCCATACATGTCTTTCCATAGAGGTTTTCTTGTTTATTTCTTCTTATTTATTTTTTTTTAAAACTTTTATTTTTAATTTTATTATTTTTATTTTATGTGTATGCATGTATTACCTGCATGTAGGTAAGTGCACCTATGTCATGCAATGCCTGTGGAGAACAGAAGAGGCTGTGAGATCCCCTGGAACTAGAGTTATGGACAATTGTTAGCTGCCATGTGGGTGCTGGGATTCGAACCCAAGTCTTCTGCAAGAATAGCCAGTGCTTTTAACTGCTGAACCATCTCTCCAGCCCCCTTCTTCTTATTTTTTTAAGGCAAGGTCTCATGCTGGCCTTAAATTCTGATCCTTCTGCTTCTACCTCCCAGTTTCTGGCATTATAAGAATGATCAACCAGGCACAGTCTCCTTCCATAGAGCCTTGAGAGCTGGACTGCATCCATCACTCTCTTACTGGGCCTGTCCCGTATAAGAACACAGTGCATGCACATATGCATGTATGTTTGCATGCATGGCAGGCCTGCTCATACTCAGGCAGTTTTCTTGCTGTTAGATGTGTGACTACTGCTTCTTGAAGAACCCATCAACTCCCATCTGCGTGTGTAAACTTCAATACCCAGCCCAAATGTCACTTCCCTGGATCCTCTTAGGCAGATCTGAACACTTCCTGTTCTGTTTTCTCATAACTGTCTTGCCATACTGTATCAGAATTATTCCTCAAATGAATGCTAGGCTGACTGGTGTTTACACACACACAGTAGGTGCCCAAGACTCTGTAGTCATCTCCTCTTATCCTTGATTTTACTTCCTGACATTTCAGTTACCTGCAATCAATTACAGTCTGATAATATTAAGTGGAAAATTCCAGAAATAAACAATTCATACATTTTAAATAGCTCATATTACAGTATATTGTTACAATTGCTCTGTAATTATGTCATTAATCTTTTATTGTAACTATAAATTAAACTTTATCATAAATACATATTTCTAGGAAAAAACATATGCCTGGTTCAGCAGGATCCATTGTTTCAGATAATCTATCGGGGATTTTGGAATGTACCCCATGAATAAGGAGATTACAGTCAGTCATTTAGACTGAAGGCAGAACTCTCATCAAGTAACTACTCAGTTCAGCACCTTCACATAGCCTCCCCTTTTGCTTCCTGAAATGGTTACAATTCCGCAGGTGGTACACAGACACTTAGCCTCCTGGTTCTCTAAGCCTTCCACTCCTGCCCTGACCAACGCTTAAACTGTGCCAGGGTCACAATGGACCTCTGAGCAACATCTTGCCTTTGGATGTCTGTACATCTGTCTTTCCTAGTGTCCCCCTTCTCCTCTCCTCCTGTCAAACTCCTATTCAATCCTAACACTTAGGAGGCAGAGGCAGGCAGATCTCTGTGAGTTTGAGGCCAGCCTAGTCTACATAGAAAGTTCCAGGCCCGCCAGGGCTACATAGTGAGACCCTGTCTCAAATAAATAGCTAAATAAATTCTTTGCATGCTCTAAGGCCCGGTCCAAAGGTCCCTTTCTCCCTAAAGCGTCCCATCAGCAAAGGTGGCTTTGACTCTTGCTGCTGAGACCAAAGTCCTTAGTCCTTCCTGACTCAAAACCCAGAGCAGCCTGGGGAATGAGTCCTGCTGTTTGTGAGGAAAGCATCCTGAGGGAATGTTTGCAGTCCACAGCATAGGGCAGGGCACATAGTGGGTGCTCAATATAGAACTAAGTTCAATAGAGAATCTACACTACTCCTTGCTGATGAAGCAGCAACTGGCTCAGCCCCAAGTAACCAGCAGGTCACTGTCTTTCCTTTTCATTAACGGGGGACAACTAATGGGGAAGGAGGGCTGGAATGCCCCTCCTCTCCCCCAGCTGGCACTATTACAGAGGCAGAGCAGGTGTGACAGGCCTTTTCCTTGGCTCCACCCCATCTCCTTTCTCCCAAACACGGGGCAGATCCCCAGCTCTGTAGGACTGGAGTCACCTCCACAGCACCGGGGTACACAGGATACATGGTCCCCAGCCCGGGGTACCCCTACATCGGCATGACCCAGACAGGTGTCACCCTCTGCAGCCCCAGGTGCCTCACCTCTGTCCCTCGGGCCGCCCTGCTCTTCAGCCTGGTTCTCACCTCCTTCCACTCGTCCTGCTGGATAGGTAAGAGTCCTGAGCTTTAGTCTTGACCACGCTGGAAGGGGAGGGCAGGGCAGAGGGGGAGGGGAAGATTCCTTGGCCAGGGTTGGCCCTGCACAGAGGGAAGAGGAAACTGAAGCCGCTCCCCTGAAGGACTAGGCAGGGAAGGTGGGTGGGAGTGGGCTGGGGGTGTCTGAGGTTTGTTTCGTACCACAACGAAGCACTCAAATTCCTTACTAGCTGCCTCTGTCTGGCCCTTGCCACAAAACCCAGAATTTGCTAATTTGCCAAATCTTATCCAATCTTCTCTCCTGGTGGGGCCTCACCTTCCCTGACCTCAGATCCTCCTCCCTCCAACCCCCGCCCTGTAACTTTCAAAAACTAGAAAGCTGTCCTTGGCTCTCCAGCCCACCCCAGGGCAAGGGAGGCACAGGTTCTCACCCACCTTCTCCAGTGGCCTGGCTCTCCCAGGCTGGGCTCTGCACTGCAGCACCCAGGGGTCTGCTCTGCTTTCCACCCTCCTGCTTTGAGCTTTGCCCTTGTCCTGATCTTTCTCAGACTATCACCTGTGATCTGACACACTCTCCTGTCTCAGGCCACCTCCCTTGTCCCTCCTGAGTCTCTCTCCTGGAGGTACTGTCAGGAGGCTCTTGGGGCCCTTCAAGAGCCACAATTCCTCAATTCCTCTCACCTCCCATATCTTACTAGTTGTGTGATCTTGAGCCCCAGATACTTTGTTTATGACTTGGGGATAAACAGAGTGCTGATTTACAGGCTTGCTTGTAAAGAGGAAATGACTTAACTGCTTGTGAAGAAGTTACAAGAGAATACTGGTAAACACACTTTAATGGTAGCAGTTATGGTTGGCAAGCTATCATTCTCACATTCACCCCTCCACAAATAAGGGCGTTGGTTTCTTTGTGTACCTTCACAGTACTTCACTGGGTCTTCCCAAGTGTGCCAGTTCCTGGCTGGGTGTTTCTTACAACACGGGAGGTGATAGGAAATATTTAGGAATTTTCCTCTGGGTCACTCCATCTGAAAAAAACCCTGCTGATATGGGATGGTTTGTGACCTCTAAAAATGATAACTTCATAAGATTCGATCTAGTTAACTAGTTTTTTTCCATTCTCTTACTCAGGCTATAGGAACATTTCTACCCTAGGTGGAAAGGGGAGATGAAGGTCAAGGCTAAGGAAATGATTTGGTTTAGAAGGAAAATTCAAACACTGAGGAATCAGTTTCTCCAAAACAAGACTCAACTCTAAGCTATTTAGCTGTAAATAATTTACAGTAGCCATCAGATTCCATCGAAGCAATTACCATACCTTAGCGGGATGGTGTGGCTCGGGACTGTGTGGCCTAGTGAGTCTGGCAGCAGTTTCTAACACACAGCTTTCTTCCCCAATTATCTTGCCCTGTGACCACACCTCCTTTGAAGGGCATGCTGGTCCACAGGCAGAGGGACATTGAGAGTTTAAAATTTTTCTTTTCTATTTTCAAGGAAACAGCAGTATAATTTCCAGATAGGCTCTTCAAAAATCAATCTCTTGGGTTAGGGATATAGTTCAGTGGTACAGTGCTTGCTTGGCGAGCAGGAAGCCCTGGGTTCTATCCCCAGCACTGTATAACATGAGCATTGTGGTGCATTCCTGTTATCCTAGGTCTCTAGAGGTGGAGACAGGAGAATCCTAGTTCAAGGTCACCCTCAGCTATGTAGTGAGTTCAAGGTCAGCCTGAGATACATGAGATTCTATTTTTTAAAACAAAAAAAAAATCAGGGCTGGAGAAATGGCTCAGCATGTGAAAAGCACTGGCTGCTCTTCCAGATGACCCAGGTTTGATTCCTAGCACCCACATGGCAGCTAACAAGGGTCCATAACTCCAGTTCTGGGGATCCTCTTCTGACCCCATAAGCATTGCACAACACAGGTGCACTTACATGCAGGTGATAAAACTCATACACATAAAAAAATTTTAAATCAATCTCCTGGTTTTTAATCCACCTACCTAGATTTAACATTTGTGTTGATGTAATTTTTTTCTATAGTAAGAATGAGCTCTAGAATGCTCCCTAGTCATACTGTGCTTCCAATGAGATGGCCACCAGCCACAGGCATCAACTTAGCTTCAAATGTGGCTAAGGTGACTAGGAAGCTGAATTTTATTAATTGAAAAAAATTTTATGCATATGAATGTTATGCCTGCATGTATGTGTGTAAGTACACCCATGTAATGCAGTGCCCCAAGAGGACAGAAGAAGCTGTTGGATCCCCTGGAACTGGATTTACGGACAGTTGTTAGCTGTCATGTGGGTGCTGGGATTTGAACCCAGGTCTTCTGGAAGAACAGACAGTGTTCTTAACTGCTGAGCCATCTCTCCAGCCCCCAAAGCTGAATTTCTAATTTAAGTTCATTAAAAAAAATTTTTTGGTTTATTTATTTTTATTTTATGTGTATAAGTGTTTTGTCTGCATGTATGTAAATGCACCCATGCATACAGTACCCATGGATACCAGAAGAGGGCATTAGATCCCCTGGAACTGGAGTTATGGACAGTTGTTAGATGCCATGTGGGTGCTGGGAATCAAATCCTGGTCCTCTGTTAGTAGCAGCCACTGCTCTTAACCACTGAGCCATCTCTCTAGCCCCTTAAGTTCATTTTTATTAAATCAATTTAGATAGCCGCAGTGGTGAGGAGCTTCCATACTGGGCAGTGTGGCCCACTCATTTTCCCACCTTCAGTCATGGGGGTGCACATGAGCATGACTTTTTCTTCCCTGGATCTTACATTTGTCCTTATACCCTGGCCTTACTTCTCAAACACTGACATAACTTTTAGAATTCCTTCTAAAGTTCTCATCTTTCTGCCCCTTGCTTATGAATCAAGAGACAATTCTAAATCACATATTCTGGCAAGCTAAGGACTTGCTCAGATGAGATGTAGTTTTTGTTGATAACTGTATGCCTGGCTGACTACATCACACCCATAAGAGCTAAAGACTCAAGGTCAGATTTTAGTGTATATTTGTTCACATTTCAGGAAGAAATTGAATATGCTATGAAGGAGACATTCTAGATTTTTTTTTCAGTGCTTTTTTCAATTTATATTGGAAAGACCATTTTATAGTTATAGTGACTGCATAGAAAGCAGTTATGTGCATCAGGCTCTTGGTTACTGAAGTGCTATGCTAGTTTTCTTTCTGTCGCTGTGAAAATTACCCTGACCAAAAGTAACTTGTGGGGAAAGGGTTTACTTGGCTTATAGGCTATAGTTCATCATCTAGGGAAGCCAAGGCAGGAACTGAAGCAGAGACCATGGAGAAATGCTGCTTACTGGCTTGTTCCCCCTGGCTTGCTCAGCTACTTTTATACAGCCAGGCCCTTCTGCCCAGGGATGTGACCACCAACAGTGGGCTAGGCCCTCCTACATCAATTAATGAAGAGACTATCTCACAGACATGGTCACAAGTCAATTCAATGGAGAAAATTCCTCAATTGAGGTTCTTTCTTCCTAGGTATGTCAAGTTGATAACTGAAGCTAACTGTGACATTCTACCCCTTGTCAACTTTGACACACAAACACGTCACCTTAAACCATAACATTTCCCTTTTTTGTCCCCAAGAACTCACATTAATATCATAATATAAAATGTAATACAATTTTTAAAGTTCCAAACTTTAAAAATTCCATCACTTAAAAGTTCAATGTCTTTTTAAAATATTCAAAGTCTCTTAACTGTGGGCTCCTGTAAAATAAGGCATGTTAAATGCGTCTTACTCCAAAAGGGAAGAACCAGGACATATAAACAATCACACTCAGGGCTGGAGAGATGGCTCAGTGGTTAAGAGTGCTGACTGCTCTTGAGAAGACCTGGGTTTGATTCCCAGCACTCACATGGTGGCTATGAACCATCCTTAACTCTAGTTCCAGAGGAATCTGATGCCCTCGCTAACCTTCGCGGCATTGCGTGACACGGGTGTACTCACATATGTGCAGGCAATACACTCATACACATAAAATAAAAATAAAAAACAATCACACTCGCAAAACCAAAGTCCAGCTGTATAAATACATGTTCTGTAACTCAGTGTTCAACATCTTGGACTCGTGATCTTCTGAGTTTCAGAGGACTTGGGAAGCCCCATTGCTCTGGCACTTCTACCTGCAACACACAGCTTGCCTCAGATTCAGGCTGGCTCTACTCCATACCTGCCACTGTCCTTGGTGGTCATACCTGGTACTCACATTTCCAGTATGCTGGGGTCTCCACTGCAACTGAGTCTGCACCTTTACCAATGGCCTCTCTTGGCCTCTTTAGGAATTCCAGCCCTGCTACATGGTGCCAGGCCTTAGCTTCTCTCCATAACCCCTTCAATCCTGGGGTCTCCACTGCAACTAAGGCTTCCCCTTCACCATTGGCTGCTCCTGACCTCTCATAGTGCCAAGCCTCAACTGTTCTCCATGACTCTTTCGTGCCTTCAAAACTAGTACCACATGGGAGACTCTTACACATTGCTAGGTTTGGTCTCCAAGCAGAGATGCAACCTTGGTCCTTCTGGACCACAGATTCAGTGTTCTGGCTCTGAGGAAATACTTCCCAGAATACTTCATCTCAATGATGCTGGTCTCTTATTAAGCACAGCTGATTTTGTTTTTTGAGACAGGGTTTTACTTCATAGCCCTGACCAACCTGGAACTCACTATGTAAACCATACTGGCCTTTAACCCACAGAGATTCACCTGCCTCTGCTTCCTAAATACTGGGATTACAGGCATGTGCCACAGATGATTTTTCAGCCCTAACTAACCAGCATCAATTGTCACAAAAAAGTAAAGGTTTCAGTTCAGTGGTGTTGGTCTCTTGTTAATCACAGCTGACGCTTCAGTCCCAGCTGACCAGAAACTACAGATTCTTAAGTCAGATATATCACACAACCTGACCAGATAGAGTCTTTGCCTCCCTCTGGAATGTCCCTCTGGAGCCAGGCCTCCATCATCTTCATTTCTTGAAACATTATCTACCAACAGCCCATTAAGCTCTGAGCACTCAATAGCTTTTCCAGCATAAAGCTCCACAATCCTCCACAGCTTTCAAAATAAAACAAAAACATCCTCAGGTCCATATTTTCTAGTCAGGTACCAATTTTCTAGTTTGGTTTCTGTTGCTGTGATAAATAATCACATTACCAAAAGCAACTCGGGGAGGAAATGGTTTATTTGGCTTACAGATTACAGTCCTTGAGGGAAGCCAGGGCAGGAACTTGAAGGCAGGAACCTGGAGCAGGAGCTGGAGCAGAGACCACAGAGAACACTGCTTACTGGCCTGCTTCCCTGACTTGTTCAGTTACCTTTCTTATATCCAACTGCCCAGGGGCAGCACCACCCATGGTGGACTGGGTCCTCCTACATCAATTATCAATCAAGAAAACATCTCTTAGACATGCCCACAGGCCAATCTGATGGAGGAAATTCCTCACTTGAGGCAGCCTCTTCCTAGGTGTCTAGTTGACAACTACAGCTATGATAAGAGTGGGGTTTTTTGTTTTATTTTTAACGAAGATAAAGCATCTCCCGATGAGGGTAAAGTGATAATAAACAATAATAAATGGGACCGTACTTTCATGTATGCCTGAAGAAAGTCAACATAGCACAGAGAAATCTAGACATCCATACTTATCGCTGTACTATTCACAAAAGCTAAGCTGTGGAACCAGCCTAGCTGTGGTATAGACACATGATGGAGTCTTAGTCAAACATAAAAAATGAAATCATGTCATTTGCAGGAAAATGGTTGGAACTGGAGATCATCATGTTAAATGAAATAAGCCAAACACAGAAAGACAGAAGTCATACATAGAGATTCATATGTGACATGGATGTGGAAGGGAAACTATCTGAAAAGAGGAAGGGGACCTGTGGAAGGGGAGAGAGAACACAAGATAATGGGAGGGTGAAAATGAGCAATGTGCATGATATTCATGTATGAAGATGTCCTAATGAAACAGTCTTTTGTATGCTAATTTTAAAAAGTGAAAAAATAAAGCCAGGCATGGTGGTGCATGCCTTTAATTCCAGCACTTGGGAGGCAGAAGCAGGCGGATCTCTGTGAGTTCAAGGCCAGCCTGGTCTACATAGTGAGTTCCAGGACAGCTGGGGCTACAGGGAGACCCTGTCTCAAAAAGACCAAAAATAAAATTAAAAAAAAAAAAAGAAAAAAAGTGAAAAAATAAAATGAGCTATGTCATTTTGTAAGTTTAAAGAAAGAAAAGGTAGGCCAGGTGTGGTGGTACACGCCTTTAATTCCAGCACTTGGGAGGCGGAGGCAGGCCTCTGTGAGTTCAAGACCAGCCTGGTCTACATAGTGAGTTCTAGGACAGCTGGGGCTACAGGGAGACCCTGTCTTAAAAAGACCCCCCCCCCCCCCGCCAAAAAAAGGTGAGCATATGTCTTCGTTTCAGGTTTATAAGACACATACCACAAACTGGGGTGGGGGACTTTAACAACTGAAATGTGTTTTCTCACCATTCTGAAGGTTGGATGGTAATGTCAAAGTGTCAGTAGGTTTGTTTTCTTCCTGGGGCAGCAGATGGCCTCTGTTTCCCTGTGGCCTCACATGGCCTTTTCCCTATGCCCAAACACTGATGGTATCCCCTCCCCTTTTATGGTTCTAGTCACACTGGGTTAGGACTCACACATACGACCTCATTTAGCCTTAATTACTTCTTTAAAGGCACTGTCTTCAAATCCAGTCCCCTTGGGAGGGTCAGAACCTCAGCAGATGAATTTGGGGATCACAATGCAGCACACATCAGGGCATTAGCATTGTTACATAAAGCTTCACAGTATCTACAATGCAACTTCTAGAACACTTGTAACACTCATTACTCATGCACAAAAATTTCTGACTTTTTGCCTGGGCCTCACTTTGCATTCGACCTCTCTCACCTTTTCTTTCAGAAGCCAGCAGCAGCAGCAACAGCAATTCAACCCCGATTACACACCACCCAGACCTTGGGACCCTGGAGCAGTGTACCAGTAAGCTTCCCTGACTTAGACCTGACCCCAGAGCTGGCCCTGGAGCTGGAAAGGAAACTTGGGCCCCGTTTGGATCTGCTAATGGTTGTCAGGTGGTCAAATGACTGCCTGGCCTTCCCAGGCACTGGGGTGTTGTTTCCCAGCACTCTTCACAGAGCAGACTGAAAGTTAGTTTGGCTTTGATCCTGATCTAGGGTTATGAACTTTGGCACAGGTGGCTTTAATAACACCCCCCCCCTCCCTTGGTCAGCAACCAAAGCAGCCCGAGGTGCAAATGCTTGCACCATTTGGAGGTGAGAAGCCCATGAAAATCAACCGGTCCAACCTCTGCCCAAGGCTTGGGGACCCTTCCCCCATTTCTGATCATCTGCTTGAAATGCATCCAGCGACTAGAAGCTCAGAACTCACAAAGGAATTCTCCTCGTATGTGTCCATATGTCCATATGTGTCCATATATCCATAGCTTCATTTTTACTCTGATCCCTTTATCCTCATCCAATGACCAAACACGTTTCCTTCTGTGCACTGATAAAGAGGGACAAGAAGCAATACACAGAGGCTGAGGATACAGCTCTGGAGTCTGCAGACTGGGATTTGAGTTCTACATCTGCCATCTTATGGCAAGTTACAGCCTCAGTTTCTTTATATGAAACAGGGATGATGGTTGTACCTATTACAGGCCTGGAGTATAGCTCAGTGGCAGAGCATCTCCTTTCTCAAGGCCCAGCATCAAAATAACAGTGATGCTAATCATACCTATTACCTTGTAAGGAATGTAAAAGACAGTGTATAAAGACTTAGTAGCAAACAGGTGTTTAAATGTCAGCCAGCATACTGTTTGTGTTCTCATTCTTACTAGTGTGAGAGAGTAGGCAGGTAGGGCTGGTGTGTCATGGTCTTGTTCTCGCTCTCCCTTCCCCACCAGACATGGACTTCTGCCCACTGGCCTCCCTGTGTTGTCGCTCCTCAGTGGATGAATACGGCTGGATTGCAGCGGCAGTTGGCTGGAGTCTCTGGTTTCTCACACTCATCCTGCTCTGTGTGGATAAACTGATGAAGCTAACTCCAGAGGAGTCCAAAGACCTGCAGGCATGAATGCAGAGCTGTAGCCCCAAGAATGGCCATTGCTACCGCATCCGGGTAGCAGAGGGAGGGGAGGATGCTTTGAGAAGCAGGGCTGCTATAACCTTAAAGTCATTTGTTCCTTGAAGCCTCAGATCCTTTGTTATTAATTTGGTGCTGTGGATCAAACCTGGGGTTTTGTACATGCTAAATACACACTCTACCCTTGAGCCATTTACCCACTCCCTGTAATAGCTACACTGTCTTTGGTTACTTTTCCAAAGGAAGGAAGAAAGAAGGGGGTCCCAATAAGGCAAGGCCAGAGCTGTTCTCATCCCCAAGTCCTGGCTTGTGTGCCTGGATGACCTCCATCTTTGAGAGTCCCTATGGCAACTGCTCCTCTTCTACCTCAGCTTTCTCCTGGGTGCCCAGGAAGTGACACAAAACTTAAGACAGCCTTTTAGTAAACAGATTTGAAAAGAGACATTGGTTCCTCTTACCTCTGTCAAGGGCAAAGCCATCAACTCGAAGTGTGAGCAGTGGCTCACACCCTGCCTCCTTCACCCCCATGCCCAGTTCCTCTCCAGCGCTCCGTCTTTCTCCAGCTCATCTCCGATGGCTGTCCAGTTCCATCCGTTCTCCCCACCAGCACCCTTGTTCTGTCCTCACCACCTTTCCCCAGACTGATTCAGGAATCTCTCATTCTGTCCCCACTACCTGTGGCATCTTCCTACCCCTCTTTCCACTCCTATGGGCAGCTAGCTTCTAGGAGTTCCAGATGACCACAGTTTCTCAGCTGGCTTTGAGTTCTCAACCATCATGCTAGGCCTTTCTGGTACCCAGAGGTCAGGGCTCTGATTAGCCCACTCCTTGTTCTTGTGCCGGCAGCTTGTGTGTTGCCATTTCCTCTGTAGGGACAGAGGCCTTTTCAACTCCACCACTACTCCTCCATGTCCAGCCTGGTCAGCCATGGTCACCTGGAACTGATGCCTCTGGACAAGGCACAGCACTGTGAATGAGCTTTTACCCCATCAGCACCATACCCTGTTGTACTCTGGGGATAGAGGAGCTCCTCATGTGTGTCCAGTGGATGGATGGATACATGGATGCATGCATGGTTGGATGGATGCATGGGTGAGTGGATGCATGAATGGATGTGTGGATGAGTGGATGGATTCATAGTTACATGGATGGATGGATGGATGGACGGATGGATGGATGGACGGACAGACGGATGGATGGACGGACGGACGGATGGACGGACGGATGGATGGACAGATGGGTGCCTGAGTAGATGGATGGATGAGTCCTTACCTTGGATAGCCTGTGATCATCACTCTGCATTCATAACCTCTATTTTTTCCCAGAAAGTTGAAATATAACTGATCCCTAATGGAAGTCAATGGTTTGATCATTGCTCTCTTAGCAAGTGTCAGTCATCACCAATTGTCACAGACAGTTGTAGGCCATTGAATATATTGATTATGTCTTTAGACAGGAGGGAAGGTGGTTTTATCAGAGAGAAGACAAAATGACTTTACTTTTTTTACTTTTTTTTTTTTTTTTTTTTGTCTTTTTTGAGACAGGGTCTCCCTGTAACCCCAGATGGCCTGGAACTCACTCTATAGACCAGGCTGGCCTCGAACTCACAGAGAGATCTGCCTGCCTCTGTCTCCCAAGTGCTGAGACTAAAGGTGTGTGCCACCATGCCCTGTGGGGTTTCCTTTCTATAGCCCAGGCTGGTCTCAAACTCACAATCCTCCTCTTTCAGCCTCTAAGTAGTGATGTGTCTCACCATATTCAGCCTCAAAATAACTCTTGAAATAATTTCTGCCCACTATGAGAAAATAGTTACACTTATTTGGGGGGTGAGGGGTTGACATGATGCAGTGTGGAGGTACAACTTTCAGGAGTTGGGTTCCTGGGATTGAATTCAAATTGTCAGGTCTTTGCCTTTACCTACTCAGCCACTGCTCCAGCCCCATCTGTGAGAAAGAATTTAGATGGGATAAACAGAGTATCAAAATAGAAAGAGAAAAATTCGAAACCTCCCAAAAAAACCTCAATCCTCCTGCCTCAGCTTCCTGAGTTCTGTGATTACAGGCATGTGTCACCATATCTAGCAAAGTTGTTTTTTTTTTTAATGTTGAGGATCCAGTCCAGTGCTGTGATCATACTAGAAAAGCTGTCCACCAATAAACTATGTCCCTAGCTCAGAAGAAACATTTTCTGGAGGATGCAGATAACTTAAAACTGAGCTGGTCCACACTCTGAGAAAAGTCAGATCATTTTACATTGTGGGTGTCTGATCAGTACAGTGGGGTGGATTTCTTATCTCAAGTATATTAACAAAAAAAGTTTTCACAATGCATGGTGGTTTACTTGGCAAGAGAAGATATATTCAGAAGTTCATTTAATGTCTACAAACGTTTAAAAAAAATACAATGTGTGATACTGTGGTAATAGTTCAAACTGTTTTTACCATGTAGCTCAGGCTAGCCTTGAACTTGGGATCCTCCTGCCTATGCTGGGGAGTGAGCTTGGGTCGACTGCTGTGTGATAGATTTTTGCAGTGTAGAGACTATGGTATGACTGCCATTCCTAGAGAATACTTGGGTTTGTTTGTTCATTTGAGAGTACTTTTAAAAATATTTTATTATTTTTATTTTAGTGTATGAGTCTATTGTCTGCATATATGTAAGTATACCCATGTCGTGCAATGCCTGAGGAGGACAGAGGAGGGCGTCGGATTCCCTGGAACTGGAGTTACGGGCTGTTGTTAGCCACCATATGGGTGCTGGGAACCGAACCCAGGTCCTCTGCCAGAGCAACCAGTTCTCTTAACCTCTGAACCAGCTCTCTAGTCCTAAGAATAATTTTTTTTTTTTTTTTTTTGGTATTTTTGAGAAAAAATACCCCCACTGGCCCCCACTGGCCTGGAACTTGCTACATAAACCAAGCTAGCTTCAAACTCACAGAGATCCACCTGCCTCTGCCTCCCAAGTGCTGGGATTAAAGGCATGTGCCACCACTCCGGGCCTAAAACTGTTTATTTTTTAAGAGAAGAGGAATAGAATAATTTCTGTTCAGTGTGTACAGAAATGTATCATTTTACCCCACTAGGTATTGTTGTGACCAGAGAACGGATCCCCAAGAATTGCCACGGAGTCCAGAGGGCATGCAAGAACAAAGAGTCTTAATTAGGGCTTTAGCTCGGACTCTCAGACCTCACCAATGCAGTGGATCTGTACCGAGAGCCCCGACTGCTGGGGAAAGGAAACTTTTTATAGGTTTTAGACAAAGGGAGGAGGGGAATAACAGAGATACATCTTGACTGGTCCAAAAAGCCTGCACGCACCAACATACTTTGGAATTGATTGGTTACAAGGGACACAGCCCTGGAGGTTTCTCATTGGTGGGTGCTACCCACAGGGCTGTGGAATGTGCTAACTACTCTCTTCAGGGCCAGAGGATCCTGTTTATTCCTTATAAGGCTTTAAACCTGCCTGGGCCCCCTTGACATGCCCAGGCTTGCCTAATCTATAACCTCCTGGGGTGGGGAGTGGTAGCTGGAGATTACAACATGCCTGGGCATGACAAGGCTTGTCTGAAACAGCTAGTCAAAATGGGGTTAATGCAGTTTATCCCTTCAGCCAAGCAATTTACAGAAGCAAAAAAGAGCAGTTAGTCCTAAAGAGGGGCAGGGGTCTCGGGAGTCCAAGGCAGGGGGCCAAGGAGGAGGGTTCCACATTTCCCCCTCTCCTTGTAACTTGGAGGCCCCAATCATGGGGCTTCCTGGAGTTGAATGGCATCCCGACTTAGGGGCTGGTATTGTGATCTCATGACCATTACTTGGATTGCCCCCAATCGTTCTTTCATAAATTGTACTAACCTATTCAGGATACGTGGTCCAAAAGAAAACAGTAAAAATAAAATAAGGAGGGGGCCTAGAAAGGTGGAGACCAGGGTGGTTAGCTAGGGGGATGAATTAAACCAAGATTCGAACCATCCCATCATTCTTTCTTTCTTTTTGCTAATCCTTCTCTTACTTTAGCCATAGATTCTTTGACTACCCCTGAATGGTCTACATAAAAGCAGCATTCCTCCCCCAAGGCTACACATAGCCCTCCTTGCTGCAAAAAGATCAGGTCCGGTCCCTGTCGATTTTGTAATACCACCTCTGCTAGGGAGGTCAGGGATTCCTGTAGGTGGGAAACAGAGTTTTCAAGCCGCTCAATGTCCAGGTCAATTGCAGCCCTTAGATCTGAATAGTATTTGCCTTGAGCAATTAATGAAGCTGTCCCTGTCCCCATCCCTGCTAAGCTAGCACCTAGAAGTAGGCTAAGAGTGAAGGCAGTAATAGTAACAGGTTCTTGTCGCCTGCAAGGGAGACCGCCCCTTCCCTCGAGGTAACTAAGAATATGTCCTCACTATGGTATAGGAACCAGGGCACTAAGCAGACAAGGACACAGAACCTTCCAGTTTGTTTGAGGATGGCTGTAGATGCACAAGGAGTTAGGCTGGTTGAACATGCCCACCAAGTGTCATTCTGGGGGATCATGTATTCAGATTCAGGTAAGTTATTCAGAAGGAGGGTCTTATTGCAGAGGAACACCTTATCCCCAGTTACATGTCCAATGCATAGCTCTTGCCCTATCACCTGCTGGAGCGTTAAGGAATGATGGGGGGATTACCAGTGACACTGAGTGGACTCTTTAGCCTGAGTTATGTCAGCCTTTACAGCTACCCCCTCGTAGTAAAGGGGTGCTATGTCATAGCATAACCAGCACGAGTTAGTAAGATCAGGCCTTATGGCATTCAGAACCAGGTATGTTTGTTGAAGTAGATCTACCATGGGGTGCAGTTCCCCAATACCTAGTTCAGGCTTGGGGTCAAGTCCATCAGCCCCCAGTCCAGGCTTGGGTGCTGAGGTTAGGGGCTGCATGAGGGCAGGGTTCTGGGAGATATTGTGGCCCAGGGTTCCTGGAGTTGAGTGGAGTTTTGGGACGGGTGCCCGTGTAGGACGCACAGGGGATTGATTACCTTGTTGGGGCCTACTGCTGATGGATGCTCTATTGGTTCCACCTTTAGCTTAATTATGATGGTGGAACCAGCATGTCCTCCATACTTACGATATACTACACTCCATCTTAG